TGTGTGTGTGTGTGTGTGTGTGTGTGTGTGTGTGTGTGCGTGCGTGTGTGTGTGTGAGAGAGAGAGAAAGAGAGCGAGAGAGAGATTTTTCTACACTCGTTACTTATGAGAGGAAAAAAGACATATACACACCAGCAGAGAGTGAAAGACAGACTGACGTCCAGTGGTGGAGTCAGAAACCTGAGAGAGTCCTTGACTATCATTGAGGAGAGAGAACGGCCATTCTCACGAATGAACAGAAACAGTCCTTGATGAGTGGGAAAGTCCATCTTGAGATTGCTAACAAGTGAACTGCTCCCAATGCTGCGGGGGGCAATAGCGAGGTCCCAACCCTCCTGCCGTCCATCGGAAGACGCCCTCGCTAGCACTGCACGATACTTCGGTCCCCGAAAAGGAAAAAGGGAAAAAAGATACTTTGGGCCATTTGGTTGACGCCTTGAGGTCAGGTTGTGTAATCCTCCAGAGTCTATTAGTAGTAAAACGTAGACGTCAACAAAATAACGAGAGGAAGAAAATGATTATACATCGACGTAAAAGATCAGAAATAGCCCTGATAAATTTTCCCCGCCCGAAATGAGCCCAGGACCAAAAAATCATGTCAAAATGTGCAGGCCTGAAAAAGCCTCTACGTATACATCTGCACAGAGCAGGCAGGAGATGCAGAGGGAGAATACAGGGATATCACCTGTTCTCGTAGGCAACCTGGAGGCTGGAGGTACAGAAGCATTCAGAAAACACCCTAACGACGAAGGTAGAACATCAAGGCCTCGGGGGGGAAAAACAGAACATGATCTGATCATCAAGTCCTCTTGAAGACAGTTGCCTCACTACTCCATTCCTCAACATGGATGACCTCATCATTCCACAAAATAGAAAGTGCACGACATTCCAGAATAAGATCAGGCATCCTCCCACCCTCGATTCATCAGCATTCATCAGTATTCATCATCAGTATTCATCAGTATACAACATCAGTATTCATCAGTATTCATCAGTATTCATCAGTATTCCTTCCCCTCTAGCTTCCTGGCCTGTGCCTAGTCTGCAGCCTGCCTCTGGTCCGCAGCCCATTGAAGATAGTGAAAGGTGGCTTTAATTAGAGATATATCCGAGTGGAGTTTCTCAGTTTCTCACATCGATTCTTTGAGAAAGTCAGAGGACTTAAGTTGCGGAAGAAGATTTCGTGTATTCTGTAAGTATTTGGTTTCTCTTATGATGTTCATTGTTCAGTTCCTTCTGGAATCTGGACAAAACCGAGGAAGAACCTTCCTGTTACCTTGTGGGAACATTCGTGTCGCAAGCATTCCTTCACTGAAATTCGTTCATACACTAGAACAGATTCATTTTAAAAAAGAAAAAAGGGAAAAACAAACCCATCAACAAGCATAGGGAAAGGCTATCGAGAACAATAGTTTACAAGCAGCCACAGCAACAGACATACACTCCGACCCAACATACGCCACCAGAGCTAGAGGGGGGGGCTAGATGTGTATAAGAGACAGGCTTAAAAGTGGTTTTTTTTTTTTTTTTTTTTTTTTGAGGCTCACCCAGGTACATTCGCCTCAAGCCCCACAATGTGATGACACTAGGGAAAAAAATAAATCAAAATGACCTACAAAATAGCAAACGAGAATGCTTATTTTGGCTGGTTGATTTTTTAAAAAATATATTATTCCTTGAAAAAAAAAAATTGAAAAAATTATAGGGAGTTGCCCTCCCATGTTCCCCACCCTCCTATGAAAAACAAACTACCCCCCCACAGCCAAAAAACAAAACAAAACCCCGATCCCGCTCACCGTGAACTCTATGAAAGAGGGCTTTCACGATTTTCGTGAAAGGTGACCGGCCTTCGTCCATGGACCCCGTGAACGGTGACCGGTGGTACGGCACGACATGCATCTAACCGCTTTCCACCTCAGGGTAGCAACGACTGAGCAAGCGGACTCTCTCTCTCTCTCTCTCTCTCTCTCTCTCTCTCTCTCTCTCTCTCTCTCCATACAAGTCCACACAAAGGGGAGAGAGAGAGAGAGAAAGAGAGCAAGAGAGACAGAGAGACAAAGAGACAGACAGAAAGAGAGAAAGAGAAAAAGAGAGAAAGAGAGAGACACAGAAAGAGAGAGAGACAGAAAGAGAAAGATGGAGACCTGCTGCTCACATCAGGAGCTGAAGATGACCCCTCTCCGTTTTTTGGCCGAATATATACACGTATGTTCAGAGAATGGGAAAGAACTCCTTGCAACATGAAAAGAATATGAGAGAGAGCAGGAAAGCCGGAAAGAGTCCGAAAGACTCTCTCTCTCTCTCTCTCTCTCTCTCTCTCTCTCTCTCTCTCTCTCTCTCTCTCTCTCTCTCTCTCTCTCTCTCTCTCTCTCTTCCACCCAGGCCCTAAACATACCAAGCCCTCGTGAAGCACCGACACAAATGTTGCATCTTGTTTCTGTTTCCCATGTTGTTCAATAAAAAATAAGCTTCGTTGGAATCCATCACAGACCAGGATTGCTCGCCTGCAACAAACTTTGCGGCAATGAAAGATCGCGGTACGTGGATGC